TCTACTATGGGGTGGTCAGCTCTCCTCATCAGAACTGTGTACTTCCCAGAGATGCATTTTCCAATAGGCATTATTTTAGTTGCTAGCAAGGAGCAACAGAATAAGTGTCTAGAAACCACATTAAGCTAGCAGTGATTGGAAGTGTAGGGACTTAGGAAAAAGATTATTTAAGGGAACTGTAATGACCACCTTTAAATATTTTGGGGCTTTCGTTTGATAGAATGAGGAATTTGATTCTATGTTGCTCTGGAACTGTGTTTCTAAACCATATTCCCTTTTACACACACATACACATACACACAGAGAGGTCTCTATAGACATACACACAGGCTCACATATTTATAGATGTACACACATGAACACACAGATATATACACACTTGCACACATTGGTACACACACATGTACACACAGGTAAACACATGTGCACCTATGTACAGGTGTACATACACACACAGGGCTGAGAAAGATTCTTACGTGTGCTTTATGACCCTGTGGCTACATTTTGAGAAAACTCACATCCTTAACTACTTAGAGTTACAACATAAAAATCATCTTATTCCAAACCCAGGTCAAAAAAATTGGCTCAAATTATTATGCTTGTTTTCTTTGAACAGCTAAAGTGTGATCAAAATGAAGTTTCTCATGGGCGGTGTAGGTGCTGAGTAATAGCCACACACCTAGAGTACTTGAGTGTAAATGCAAACTTTAAGTACAAGTATTCAGTCATTCCCAGATGTGTGGGTATTACACAACATATACATACACACCCTGCTGTCTCCTATTAACAAATTAAGGAGACAGCAGTGTTTACTTAAACATTTTAAATGCCTTTGTAAAAACTGAAGTCAGAATACTAGGTGTTTCCTTTTAACCAAAGCCAGCCTTTTAAAGGTGTTCTAAATTGCTCAATCGCCTGGGGTTAGGAGTGGGAATCCATAAAAAAGCCCTCTTTTAAAAAATATGCACAGACGTTCTAAAGATTGCATTTCCACTAGTATATAGCTCCCAGAAGAACTTAGGTGGTATTTATTTCTTGGTATTTCTTGTCTTTTCTCTCCAGAAGTTTGTAGGTGTAATACCAGTGGCACAGACCTTCCATATTTTGTCCTAACTTCAGTAATGAACGAATGACCTTTTACCGAGTAAAAGCTTCTGTGACTCATCCTCCATTACCATGTTCTTCCTGTATCTTGTGACCTAAAATTGTATAGGTCGCCATCAACAGTACCAAGTCCTTTGATGTGTGAGATAACCTGCAGTGCCCAGCATATCCATCAGCACCAGATGAGGTGTGCCTTCGAGGCTTGTTAAGCTGTGTCCATACACGAAGGGACTGTCCAGGTTTCTCAATGTCTGTGTACTGTTCCAGTTTATGTGGCAAAATGGAAGCTGATAAGGCTTAGGCCATTTACGACGTTCCTTTTAAAGATCCATATCCAGTCATTTCTGGTGTGATGTGTGTCATTTTTTTCAAGGCATCCCTGAACTGAGTTTATTCAGATGCATGTCCATTTTAATTAAAAATTTTTCCAGTGAAACATTTGCAAAAGAAAAAGATTACAGATATTATTATACCCTTGCTTTGTATTTTCAGTATATTTTGGTTAATCCTTCTTGGAGCTAACCAACATTGGTCATCTTTCTATAATTCCAAACAATAAATATAATAATAATTAATTTCATTTAAATTCATGTTTGTATTTTTCTACTTATAATATTTTTCAATGGACAATAAGTTAATGGTATAACTAACCTATTACTCAGGTGTGCATTACAAAGATAAAAATTCTTTTTTGTTCAGTGATACAGAGAATGCCAAAATAGACAAACTCTTCTGCCACCCTATGCTCAATGAGAAGTTTAATAAACTGTTTTAATAGAACACATAAGATCTTTGGAGCCATACAAAAAGACCAACTTTGTGAATGATGGGCATAGGGAGAATTTCACACCAAAGGTATCAAAAGTAGTTTCAGTAAAATCATAGAAGGAAATTCCCTAAATCTAGGAAAAGAGATGCCGTTGCACACAAGATGCCAGAAACAGCACTGTAAAAGAAACTGTCTGCATCCTCTTACATTCTAAGCATGAAATATTTAAAAACAGAATGAAGTGAAAGGAAACAGGGAGGGAGCTAATGGCATAAAAAGGCAGGCCCGTCTGAATAACAGCTGGCTTTCTTCCTCTTTCCAGTTTTTAAAAGTCACAGGTTATAGGCCTCAAGAACTCCCAGTCCTCCTACCTTACAGGTCCACTGCCCCAGAGTGGGGTTACCCTTCCCCACCCGAGTGGTCACTCCTTCCACCCTCTTGCCTACGCTGACGGGAAGCAAGAGGGTGCACAGTTCCTCCACACCTGGAACACTTGCATAGTAGTCCACCTGCTCAGCACACACTCCCACAATACCCCATGGATCCCCACTCATGAGGTGAGCGGGTGTATAAAACTACCACCATACTACACTGATGAGGCCAGAGACCATGACTTGGTGCCTTCCCCAAGTAGGATCACCTTCAGTTACCTCATCAAATCAATCTGCATCCTGTTATATTCAAAACATGAAATACCCCAGAATACTAAGAGTGGATTAAAGAAAAAAGGGGACTGGGAGTGGAAAGTGACTTATAAGGCAGGTCACCAGAATCACAGCTGATTTTCTTCCCTTTTTTCAGTTTTTAAAACTTGTGCATTCCAATAATTAAAATCATTTGAACAACAACAAAAAATGGCACTCTGACTAAACTGCGTTTCACCAGCTGCAGGAACCTTGGATCGTCTTGAGTTTCACTGTAGATTTCAGCATATATTCCCACCAGCATCTTCCTTCAGCATACATTCTTTCCCTTCCCTGGTCATCAGAAGGCGGGTAGGAGAGGAAACCTGGCCTCTGTTGTCAGCAGTTCTGATGTACAGTCATTTAAACCTGGTCCAACCTCTGTATCCTACAGAGTTGTGGTGGTTTGAATGAAAAATGGCCCCTGTAGTCCCTAGTTGGTGGAACTGTTTGGGAAGGATTAAGAGGTGTGGCTTTGTTGGAGGAGATGTATCACTGGCAATGAGCTTTGAGGTTTTAAAAGCCTACATCAGGCCCAGGCTCTCATCTCCTGCTCTAGTACCATGCCTCCCTGTCTGCTGCCCTCCTTGTCATGATGGTCATGGACTCAGCCTCTGAAACTGCCATCAAGCCCCCAATTAAATGATTTCTTTTGTAAGTTGCCTTGGTCGTGGAGTCCCTTCACAGCAATAGAAAAGTAACTAAGACACAAATTAAACTCTTAAAGAAGTCATGTCAGAAGGCAATGCTTGTGAGATGTGTAGTGGACACTGGTGGAGCTTGCCCCATTAAGATTCACCAGCTTTCCTCTGCTGTTCAATCATTTCTTCTGAGAGTAGAGAGAGGTTTTTCCCTTGCATTTCTGTCTTCTTCAGTTTCGACTTATCACATGTCTCAATCTCAACCATCTAGGTTGTCAGACCTGGTTTTGGAAGGAGTGGAGCAAGGTACACGATGGAGAAGAGTTGGATCTGCACAGTAGCTCAGTGACCACAGTGGAGTGTCAATCGCTGAGGTTTTTAATAGGAGCTCTAAAATCCAAAAGACATGGAAGGGTGCATTTCAAGTTCTAGAGTCACATCTGTCATCCATACTTTTACTTACCACTCTGTCATCATTGAAGGAGAAGGAAAACTTTCTATGGCAAAAGTAGGTTAAAGCTGTTTATGACTCCTAAGCCAGCTCTGTAGAGGACACTGGACGGAGTAAAGCTCGAATCCAATAGGAGGAGAGAGAACAGAAAACACACAGATTCACAGAGACTGAATGATAGACTATTGCCTAGTGATTTGATCACTGGAAAAAAGTTTAAAGTGCTCCTAGAATCATGAAAATGGAAACAGCTTATCAGATCTATAGGATACAATGAAACCTTTTCCCAAGAGGAACATTCAAACCCAAAGCACCTATATTTAAAAATCATATCACAAAGAGCAATGGAATAATGCACTTTACAGCATTCCAAAAATTTGAACCTTCTGTGACAACCTCTCCTCTCCAATTAAAAAAAACAAAAAACAAAAACAAAAAAACAGTCCAGACAGGAAGCCATTAAAGAGAATCCTTAAAAATTGTGATAAGGATGCCAAAAGAAGAACTGGCATTCACTGTTGTGGGATCGTAGGCTAGTGCAGCCACTATAAAATGTAGTGTGAGAATACAGCATAAAAATAAAATAGTAACAGGAAGACCCACATTTCTATTCTATTTCCTTTTAGGGGGATGTCAAAAATAGAAACACTCCCCATCTTTAAACATGATTTTCCTGAGGTCCTGCACAGAGTAGTTTAAACTGCACATGGTCTTGTCTTTTAGTGCTTTTCTTTTCCTAGCATAATATTTTTATGGATTATTTGGGAGTTTCATACAGTGCACCCTGACCACATTTTCTTCCCAGGTCCACACTCTCACCCTGTGCCCTCCCTGCAAGAAGAAAAAAATACACCAAGTCCAATTTGTGTTGCCCATATACTCATGGGAGCATGGTCTAGAGTCGGGGTGACCTTGCCACAGGGCATTGAGTCTGGGGGCTGGATCCCTAAGGCCCCAGGCTGTGCACAGCTCTAGCCCTCAGAGCTGGCCACCCCACCAGCTCATCAGGAATGGCCATCGTGCCTGAGCATCTGCCCTCACTCGGTGATGACATGCTCCCCCATCCTCCTCAGTCGCCATCTTTTTCTCGAATTTCTGAGGTCCTCAGAGTGCTGGTGGCTGCCTCCATCGCCATCTTGAATTGAGCCCTGCCTGGTTTTTTGTTTGTTTTGTTTTAAGAAAAATTTTCTAAATCTGGATAGAAATGGGCTAGAAGATAAAAGTCATTATTTCAGAATTTTATGTTTCACTGATTTGGGTTTATTTGAGAAAGCAGTTTTTAGAACTTATTACTTTAGGTGGACATAAACTGTTTTTGAGAGACACTTAATGATAATTTTTCTTTCATTTAGATCAAATCCTTTTTATGAGCCTAAGCCAACTTCTCCAAATAATTTGGTCACTCCAGTTCAGGAGGGGGAAACGGAAAGGAGAGTGAAAAGGAAGGCCCCAGCTCCGCCAGTCCTCACTCCAAAGGCCGGGGCAAATGAGAACACAGTCGTTTCTCCAGGGAGAGATCTCTCTACTTCTCCTAAGGTGAGATTTTATACTAAATGAAATGAATGGATGCTTACTCCTCTGTACAGTTTGATTCCAGTTCATGGAAGCTGTTGTTAAATGATTTTCTGAAGGTCACTTTGGTGATTGAAAAGTAAAATTCGGGTCTGGAAGGTGTTCACTTGGTAAAATGCGGCTGTGCAGAGTGAGAACTTGGGTTTGTACACAAGCTGGGTGTGGTGGCACGGTTGTAATCTCATCGCTGTGGGGTGGGTTTGCTGGCCAGCCAGCCTGGCCTAATGGGTGACACTCTGTCTTAAAAACAACAAAAACCAAATTTAATAGCAAGATTAGCCTAGCATGGCACACACCTTTGATCCCAGCACTCTGGAGGCAGAGGCAAGTGGATCGCTGAGTTCACAGCCAGCCTGGGGCACATAATAGGACCCTCCCATAAGAAGAATAAAAAAGTGTATGGCACCTGAAGGCTACACCCAAGGTTGTTTTCTGGCTTTCATATATCCATGTGTCTGTGAATACACACCTGTGTATACACTCCTATGCACACACATATCACCCTACATGAGCCAGCTCACATGTGTACACATATAAACAATAAATAAATGTATGAATATGATTCAGGTAAATTTGTTATACTTTACTGAGTATGTGTCTGTAAGCTGATAGGTTTGCATTATGCATTGTATACCTCTTTGGCCTGTTGGTCCAATGAGCTTGTGACTGAATCTGTGGTACTTCAAGTACTCGTCCACGGAGCTAATCTGTAACTAGAATTGGGTCTTTAAAGAAGGAATCTTGAAAGCAGGGTCACATTGGTAGCCTGCACTACTCTGAAGGGAGGAGGAGAGGAGACCACCCGTCAAATGTACTGTGCAGAGTGCTTCATTGCAAAGCGACGCTTTGATGAAGAACTTCAGTATTGTTGCTTTTACTGATGTTAGAATTTGGAGTTTACTGTCACTCTTGGTGAAATTTTATGTACATTAACTACCTGGAAATGTAAAACACTATTGGAGCAATATATAAAACAGTATGATTAGAAATAATATGCTATCTTTCATGTATAAGGTTGAAAAATTTAGTTTGGGCAAATTTTTCCAGATAACTTTTGGCCGTGGGTATATATATTGTTATTGTATTAACTAATTATCATAGATTGTTATGTTAAAAACAAGATAGATGTCATCCCAGAGATAATAGGCAAGTTGCCAATAGAGACGAGAGTTTTCATTAGCTGAGTGTATGGGACCATAATCATTTAAGGCATGTAGCCATTAAGCTTACTTGAACGCCCTTTCTTCAGTACCCTTCATGCATGGGCTGCGTGTATGTGCCACTGTTCTTTTGCCTTGGGCATGGACACGCGTACACACACACACACACACACACACACAGAGAGAGAGAGAGAGAGAGAGAGAGAGAGAGAGAGAGAGAGAGAGAGAGAGAGAGAGAGAGACTAGAACATAGAACAGTGCATTAAGTCACACACAAACAAAATAAATCTAAGAAGGCCTGTGTGGAGGTGTGTGTCTGTGATTTTGTCCCTTAGGAGGCAAAGGTAGAGGATCAGGAAATCCAGAACATTCTTAGACAGTAGTGAGTTTGAGGCCAGCCTGAGCTACATGAGATCCTCTTAACACAATTAAGATAAACCACAGGTATTGAAGTTGAAAGATCTATTAATTTTCAGAGCATAGCTGTATTAATGAGAAAATTGAGAGATTACCCCCAAAGCTCATTGGCACTTAAGAATATCAGTTTTGACATATATTTGGACATGCATACTGTGTGGCTCAGAGGAGGGCAATACAAGAGATGCCTAGGGCACAAAACTTAGAGACTTCCTGATAGAGTATTGCATGTGTGGACTTGCCCTCTGCATCACTATGTGTGATCGATCGCCTCTTGTAATCTTACACTCCAGCTACCCTATTTAACCTACCTACCTTCTAGTCCTGGAGCACAGGTAGACCGTATCTGGTTTTTCTTTGATCACATTAAATTTTTGGCATAGGGTCTCAATAGTATAGCTCAGGCTGGCTTTGAACTCATGATCCTCCTGCTTCAGGCTCCTGATTGCTGGGTTATAGGCAGATGCCATCATGTCTAGCTCCAGATAAAACATCTGATAATTGTGCCTCAGTGCTAATACAACCTTGCAAGCTCAAAGTGCCAGCAACCTAGCATCAAGAACATCACTGAGAATTTTCTCACTGAGGCCAATGAAAAGATAAAAATGCTAATTTTTTAAAGCCCCATTAAAAATACAATGTGTAAATTGTGATATTTGAAAAGTTACTCTTTTAGATCAGCTAAAGTAACCAAATTAAGATACTTATAGTTCCCTAGCTAGTGAAGATTGAATCACTGTTTTCCCTTTATGTGCAAAAATTCCCCTACAGGAAAAGCATATGATTAAGGTAAAACATTAATGACAAATTTGGCATATTTAAGCGGTTAACAAGAAATGACAAACGGCACTAATTCTGTGTGCCAGGACAACTTTAGGGTGCACTATTGGTGATAAATACAAAGGCATCAGTGATTAGCTTATTTGTTACAAGAGGAAGAGACTGTATCTGCAGCATTTGCGTGGAGTTACACAAACAATGACATAGCCCTTTTCAACTTGCACCATTGACAAATTACCCTGTAATATAACAAACACACCAAACAAAAGATCCATTACAGAGTGCACAGCAAGTCTCAACCTTGGGTGAATCAAAAGAGGAAACTAGGCTACAAAATTTAAGGTGTGGAAAACTTTAAAGGTCATGAAAGTTCAAACTTGACAGGTGGACAAACTAAAGAGTTAGTGTTCATAAAATTTGGTAGTACATATTTCATTCTTAAAGAAATGTTCATTCCACTGTCTTGCAAGGATCTAAAATGAGTGATTACTTCAACTTCACAAAGAAAAGTTTAAAAATTGGGACCAATCTTTGCCATCAAAGAACAAGATTCTTGCCCAGTTATCAGCAATAATGCCCCTAAAGTGTTTCTGTCAACAGAAGTAGTGCTCAGTTGGGAACATATGAAATAACATTATAGAAACAAGAGAAAAATTAAAACAAATATTTAATTCTTTTTAGAGTGATTTGGTTGACCATTAATTAATGAAAGAGGCAGTCATCACAAGAAGTAATGATCTGAGTTAAAATACTCATTTTGGTTGGCTCTAGATAAAGAATAGCAAGGCATTTATTATATAGTAACCTTTCTGTACATTAGATTTTAAAATGTGAGAAAAATATAACAATTTAAGAATTGGAAGGCGTTCTTAGAGGTAAAGAAACAGCCCTTAAGTTATGGACATCTGATAATGTAGCAGAAGAGGCGATAAGGCTGTAGCTTGTGGTCAACAGTCGCTGAGCATTGTGAGGGCCTAGATCTCTCACCATGATGATACACATGGTGATAAACACCTTTATATTGCAGCACATTGATGAGGTAGAAGTCAAACTTGAAAGACTTTCTTTAGAATTCAAGGTGGAAAGGGAGATTGAAAATTTAGAAGGAAAAATTAAAAAATAAAGATAAGAGTCAAGACTTACATCCTTTTTATAGGCATTATAGATATGAGGACACGTTAGGTTAGGTTTGATGTTTGTCAAAGACATAGGATTTATATTGTCTCTGGAGAAAAACTTTAGGCTTTAGATTAGTATATATTGAGGCAGTGAGTAGAGTTGAGATTTCAATCTAGACATACTAAATAATGTTTGACTTTTAAAGGCATGCATATTACTATAAAGAAAAACATTTAATAGCTTTTTTAACATTAAATTCTGAAGACAGGGAAGAATATTTACAGAAAAAGTAAGTATCTGAAAGGATTTAAAACATCAGATATTCAAATTCATTAGTTAATGGTACTATAAAAATTGTCTTTGGTAGTTAATAGGACCTTAGCTCATTCACTGTATTAATAAATAAAGGAAAATACTAAGCTACTTATCCTGACTTCCCTTTGTTAACTATATTTCAAGATAATTAAGTAGTTCACAAAGGAAAGTTTTTTCAATACAAGAATTCTATGAAATAAAGAAAAAATATTTTATTAGAAAACTTACTGCTTCATAATTCCTGATGAAGTGATGTATCTATCACTAATTAGCGTGGCTGTTAAACCTCTCAGCCTGAATTTTATAAAACATACCAACAAATCAGGCTGCCAATGGGCAACCTTAGTGGTCAGTCTTATATCAGTGAGAATCGGATAGCTAGCCTGTCGTTTTCTTTCTTCTGACCATAATAGGCAGTACCTAATACCACCTGGAAGTATTCTTGCCAGAGGGTTAAACTGGGATTTAGACAAGCCATAATTGTAATAACTAGCTACCAGTGTACAAGAAATATTGGTGAGCAGAGAAGTACATAAAACAGGATATGAGAAATTCTCCAGGACAGTTGGCTAGATTCATTCAGCAAATGTATAGCTTGACAAAAAGGAAAGACTACTTATCTTTTAGAAATACATAATGAATTATTTGCTATTGTAATGATAGGATTCTGGGATTTGCTCTAAAATGTTGTAGGGGAAGAGGGGAGAACAGGAGTCCTACTTGGAAAGACTGACAAAAAGATTGGAAAAGTGTTGAGAACTTTTGAAGCAGGGTGGTGTTTCCTGGGGAAATCCCTGGTGTATGTTGGTGTTCGTGTGTGTGTGTGTGTGTGTGTGTGTGTGTGTGTGTGTGTGTGTGTGTGTGTGTATCAGAGAAGAACTCTGTGTGGTCAGGTCTCACCATCTTCACGTGGGTTCTGGAGACTGACCTCGGGTCAGGCTTGTATGACAAGCACCGTTACTCACTGAGCCATCTTAGTGCCTTCGATCCCAAACTATCTAAGATAATAGAGAGCAGGGCAAAATGATAGTGAAGGGGCAGCACCTCTTCCAAACTGATGAGCCATGATAGTCTCTGGATTCAGGAACCTTAGCAAATGTCAGTCAGAATAAAGTCAATCCAGAAACAGACTGATGAACAAAATCTTCCAGTCTAAGGTAGGAAAGGCAGAGT